GTCGCGAAGGGAGCCGGCAGTAGACGTATTAATTGAGGCAACGGCTTTGGAAGTTAACGAAACAGCTTTGTTCCCGCGATTGGCTCCAACGATGGATGGGTTCCCGAGACTTTGTAGCTTTTGAAGTTCCACGTCGGTTATTCGATTGTTTCCTATTGTTTAGATCGAACTGGGAACGAGGAGACACGTTGTCTCGGGGATCAAAATTTCTTTAAATTTTCTCTGTCCGTTCGCTTCGTTGGAATTTTCGGGGAGACGGCTCGGACGTTGCAACGTTCAGTGGCACAACGTTGTCGTGTCAGTGGTGTCATCGTCAACGCGATGCAGCGTGTAACACACGAGCGATCTTTCTGTCGATGGTGTATCCTGTTCGGAAATTTCTGAAGCTTCCCGCACTCGAAACCGAGACAAGAACGGAACGGTGGCTCGATTATCCTTGCTACGTGACAATCACGGATACGCGCATCCGTCGCGCTTGTTACTCGTTCGATATCCTTCTTTCTGATGTAATTTCCATCTCCTTTGTCCCGGCCGTAGCACGTTTCCTGCTTAATGTCGATCTTCGCGCTTTCCCCGCGAAAAATACTCGCCGTAATTTGTAGTTCTGCGTCCTGCATCGAGATACTAGCGCCATCTAGGCCTCTTTACTTCCTAACCGAGTGTTCCGTGCTCAGGTAACGAATCGACATATTCCATCGAATTATTTTCAAATTTCCCGCGCAGTCTCTAAGAGAACACACGCGCTTCGAGATTTCTCGACGCCTTTTCGCAGCTGCTGTTGTTCGATACGGAAACTAATTAATTAAGGACCACGGCCAAGTGTTCTTTCTCCTAGTTTCAAGAAAGATACGCGAACAACCCCTCGGAAACTTTTGTCCCGACGCAAACTTCCTGCGACCGGAGCGTCTTCGACATGAATCACGTTCGATTTTTCCTGGGTCTCGGTCCCGCGTAGAGGATAATTATTAACGAGTAGTTGTAGGGATAGGGGAACGATGTAAGTACACGGTATTAAGTCGAGGAACAAGACGATAGGAAGGATAACGAGATATCGCAGGTTCTTGAATTTAAGTTCGGAAGAATTTTCAGCGTTCATTTCATTCTTCGTTGAATAGACTGCCAAAATGTTTTCTTGTTCAAGAGTTCTAGCCATGGGAAACGATGAAAGAGTTTCACGGTTATTTCGTTCTCGCAACTTGATTTCCTTTCCCCTGTGAAGACAGACCCTGGGAAAGTAGACGACAAGGCAAGCACCCGTTGTTTCTCTTGGCGAAAGGAAAAGCAGAAACGAGTTTCTCTTCGAAAATGTCCCGGTTTACAAGAATTCTCTTTCCTATAGCGATCAGTGAGACGACTTCGTTTAATGCCCCTACAGTCGACAGTGGAAAGTGACGTGTCTCTGACTGCTTACCAAATTTCTCGTACCAGCAGCTGATTTGCCAGAAAGAAATTTAGCTCCACGAAACAAACAGCGGAAATTTATTTTCGTGGACAGGTGTAGGCAGCTATTTTATTTCTCCTATTTATCGTACGAGGATTAAACGTAGTCCTTCGCAGCTGTATTCGCGGTATTTAACGCGTTGAATACTCTCTGCTTCCAGATCTGTTCACGAGGGCCATCCTGTTGTCTGGCAGCGCTCTGTCGTCGTGGGCAGTGGTCGAGGATCCTGTTTCCTACGCTCTGAAAATTGCCAAGGCCGTCAACTGCACCATTCCCGAAGACCTGGTGAATAACAATGAACGGATCGTGGACTGTCTTCGGGATCGTAGCCTGGAGGAACTGATGCAGGTCGACATACAACCACCGACGTTCCTCAGCGCTTTCGGGCCCAGCGTCGACGACGTGGTCATCAAGCCAGACTTCCAGAAGGACCTGTTATCGTACATGGGCCCGGAGTTCCAAGGATTCGGGTAAGAAACGATTATATTCGAAATTAGCTCCCCGTGTCTGTAAATTATTTCGACTTTACGCTCGCCTTCTAATAAGCTAATACCCTCGACTTTTCTAATAACGTTATCATTAACGTACCATGTTACCATGGTGTTGGACCAATTTCTCGGAGCACCTTCACGGAAGTATCGGTAATATTCCCAGAGCATGAAAGGAGATCGTATAGCGTCTTCGTTTCTGGTCTCGGAATTTTATCAAGACCCCATTCGTTAAATGTAAAGCAGATGCGCAACCAGCTGAATTCGCCATAGACATTACCGCGCGGTCCATTAACGCGATTGTAAATGACTCAGGCTTGTTCTACAAAGTCCATTAGCATATTCGATCCCTGGTAGTTGCGTCGGTGTTGCTAGATGCTCGGTGTTATATATTTTTATCGGCGTTATAAACGAACGACGAACGAAACACGTCGTGTCTAATGAAAATGTTACAGCGATGCTTAATATTTCCACGAGCACGTAATTCTCTATTTCTACGATTTTATTAAAATTGTAATATTAAAAACGAAATTAAAGCGAAATAGGGAAATAAATTGAAAGAGAAATTCTTCCAGCTCTTCTACCTGTTATAAGCTCGAGAAAAAATTGTACTTTCTATATCGATATTCGTTTCGCTTCAGGCCACTGCCGAAGAGAGCCGAACACGGAGCTCCAATCACGAGCAACAACAAGTACGATTTGTTATTCGGCGTTACTACCAGTGAGGCACTGTGGAAATTTTCCGAGAGGGACGTACAGCTAGGATTCGAGGGCGAGAGGAGAGACAGGATCATCAGGACGTACGTGAGGAACGCGTACGTGTATCATCTCACGGAGATATTTTATACGGTAAGTGTATTTTATTAATCCGATCGATCAAGTTAACGCAACGACGACCGGAGTGCTTCGTTTGATATTCGAAATTCGCTTTAAAATTTTTACCACTCCCCGGCCCGCCAACGTATTTTTATCCCGATTGCATGGCCAAAACTTGTTTATTAATTTCTCGATTGCCGTCGAACAATAATCGCCTGCTTTAAAAATACGGGACGACGAAAAGAGTAACAGTAAAGAGACCCATAGAGGTCGTAAACGTTCTGCACACGCGATTAAGCGTTTAGCCGCAGCGGCTCGTTCACTTTTCATAAATTTCGATAAGCCAACGATTTCGAAGATTATTTCACGGCATGAGTTTTCATAATGCTCTCTGGGAATAATTTGTCGCGTATTCGCGGCGCAACTACCGGCCATCTGTCTGAAAAATATATCCGATATACGCGTCTGCTTATTCATAATCGCCAACTGTTATCTAACTACGAATGGCCCGTTAATTGTCCCGCCAATTTCGCTATCGAATGGCGGAAGGCTCGGGCCGAATTTTGTTCAAAATTCCGTCACAGTGTCCTTTGCTTCGCTGTTTCGTTGTTTAGCTCAGAGAGTAAATATTTTCCACGGAAAAATTTCTCGCTTTTGTCTGTCGCTTTGTTGTGCGCGCTTTGAAAACTGTAATCAAATAAGGCGGAATTTGAAATTGACCGAGTTCGAAATCAAATTTTTCAAAATTCGATCGTCGGTCTTTGCCGCGTGTTTGAAACTATGCATCGAAGGTTGTGATACGAAATAAAGCAATAAAACGGAAAATCAATATTCGGTAGTGAGGAGGATCAATGCGGAGATGGCAAGAGATGTGTTTGAACGAAGACACTACCCCGTGAATCACCGAATCTACTGTGTTTTATTCGTGATACAAAGTATATCGCGGAAAGTCACAAAGATGCACTCGTTTCTGTAATTCTAACTCTAGACTGCGCTTCAGTGCTCTATTCGAATTCTCAACTAATTCGAACCCTGTTCTGTACTGCTCCACTGATTCCCTCGACTAACTTGATTAAATCCTGCTAACTCCCTTGACTCCTGGACGCGGGCCTTTTAAACCTGTCCAAAAGACAAGCGCCCCCCAGAAGGAGAAGGAACTCACCCCACTCCAAGGTCAGTGATGGAAGAGACTCCTCCTTCCGGGTAAGGTCCTCCTAACCCCCATGATGATCCTTCCCGCGGCTACGTCACCCTTGGTTTACGACCTGGAAAGTCGGGGTCGCTCGAGGCCAGCTCACCTGGCCTGGCCCCGACCTCCTGCGGCCCATTCGTCTGTCAGATTCCCTGAATCGGGCTTTCGAACGACGCCTCGTGTCCGATGACCCGAGGTAATAAAGATCACTGACAAATATACACAATCGAACACCGAATAATAAGCTATACAGCACTTGGGACTTGGCTGTTAAAAGGTCCTTCCGTGTCTCTTAAACCTGGCGCATTGTTCCACACAGAGCATTGTTCAGCTCTCGGGCCCTAAAAATATCCTACAATAGGCAATTTTATTATTATCTTTATATAGGCAATTTTATTATTAGTATGTTGTCGATGGAAACGAAAACGACGAAAATGCTCGTATTTCCTGCTGGTACATCATAACAGAAAAACAGGAAGAACGATATCGAATGAACATTTTTCGCCATTCGCAAAAATCGTTGACAATTTCTCTCGATTAATAACATGACGTGAATAAATTAATTTTTCGCTTCGTGTTGCTCGATTTGTCGATTTTTCAATTTTTTTTCAATTTCTTCGATTTTTCAATTTCAAATTGCTTCGGAATCGAAACAAAATATGTATTTTTATTTTATATCTGTCCGATTGCTGTGTACTACAGCTTCTTCAGCTTTTTCATTTGCAATACAATTTTTGCCGAAGAAAATTCATTATTATTTTCGATTGATTGAACCAGGTGGTGAACGAGTATACCGATTGGGAACGCACGGTGCAGCATCCGGTGAATACGAAGGACGCCTGTGTCCAAGCACTAAGCGACGCCGAAATCGTCGCGCCATTAGTGCAAACTGGTGATCTTTTCACCCTGAGACACACGAAGAAGTCGAATAATCCGCACATCGCGCCGATTCCTGAAAGCGAGAAGGAGCCGATGCCCAAGACGTATTTCTACGTGTTCGACTATCAAATGAAGTACGGTGACTATCCTCAGGTAAGTGGTCGTTTTCTTACATGCATATATAAGAACAAAATTAGCAAGCGAAATCGCAACAGCCATACGTACGAGATATTAAAAAGCTGTGTACGTTGAAATTTACCTGAAGTTAGAAAAGACATAAGATTTAGGAGATTGGTCGTTTTATAGTCGACTATAACGTTAAATAATGTTTTCTCTTGAAATTCATAGGGGTGTATACGAATTTATTATGGCATATATCCTGAACCCGCGTTATCGGCGAACCATCAACAACGACTGGACGAGTCATTGATATTCGCATATTCGATTATAAACTATTTAACAGAGTATTATAAAGTACACGACTTTACGAGATAATTAGAGTCGAAACGCATCTGCGCTCGCGCGCTTCCTCTCCACATGCCGCGGATAAATTAAACCCGCGAAACGCCATTAATAACTCGATTGCTACGGCCAAACTGTACACTCCGTTCCTATCTTCCATGATGGTCGGTATATCTTCTGGGGGAATTACATTTTATTCTTTCGATTAAAATGTTGCTAGAATATATATAAATCTCTCCTATTCGATCCCTGATTCGAACACGTACTGTTATATCGAATGAAAAATATCCGGGTTTAATTTCGCGTTGCGCCTATCGTTTCGCGGCTAAAGATGAAATTACGAAGAGTAATCGCGTGTATGGCGACAGCGTGTGGGTGAGTTACGTCGCTTCGAAATTTAATATGCCACTCGTCAGACTTGTTTCACGAAGGAATGCGACAAATTATCCGAGCTCGTTTGTTCCATTCCACGGGATATGAAAAAATCCTCGTTCCCTCGTGAGCAGTCGGCGACAAGACTAGATAAAGCAGGGAGATGGCGACGATGGAACGATCCTACGGTCTTGGGGTTTTATCGCGATAAACAGATGCTGAGAGAGCAAGATATCACGGGGAGTGTGGCTAACGTTTGTGATTATGAAAATTTGTCAACCGTGGGTCCGTGCAAGGAAAATTTCGCTTTTCCTATCGTCGCGAATTTCCCATCAGCTCGAATACACGGAATATTAAACTACGCTCCAAGGAAGCCATTTTTCTCCTTTTTTGTTTTTTTTTTGGGGGGGGTTCTAACATATCCTCGATATCAAATGGAAGCATTAATGAAATATAATTATATCCGTGTGCACGCGTTATAAATGCAAGTTGGCAATTTGAAGCTAGTCATTTTTAATTAACAACTCGTTTGATAAAATTAATTTGTATATGTCTGTCGTATCCTCCGTGTTGCTCACCGTTGTTGAAAAAAGCCGAATTGCGTCGCGAACTGTACCTGCGTTTGTAATTATTCAATTTATATTTTGTCATTGCCCCTTGTCCCGTTTGCTTTCCATGCGAAGAATAATGAAATGTCTACATTAAAATTAACGGTTTAAACGCGCGATAAATATTAATTTTGTAAACATTTGTAAAATTTTTAACTTTTCAATCTCCCTTCATTCGAATTTCTCGATATTTGTTTCACCGTATGGACACCGACGATTCCATATTTCGTAAGATAGAATTGACAAACTGTTTTCTATATAGAATTTCTGAACGAGATACGCGCTCGTTGTTTAATAAATTACTCTCGGCATAATAAAATTTAATTAATTTCGAGTTCATTAATTAAACTGGACGATACAATTATTTGCCTTCCTTTTATAATTGTCAGTTCCTTTTTGTTTAAATGGACATTTAATTACTGCGAAAATGATTTATTCGCATGCGATTAAATATTAAGCTGTTCGCTCGTGACTCGCGATTCAACTGCCGTCACTGATCGATACAGGTGGAAGTATTTTTATATTGCAAATCTTCCACTCCTTTTACTCTTTTCTCGCTTCTTATCATAAACCCTTTTCGAGAATAAATCTAACCGTGTGAGAGAGAACAGTATAGGAGAGTCGAGTTCCCTTAAGGATACGCGAAAGAAGGGTTGGGAAAGCAAATATTGTATCGACGCCATACCTCTCGTGTCACCGACTGACAGATTCGAGAGGTGGCCAAGATGTCGTCACTGAGCAATTTTTTTTCATCTCCTCGAGGAGAGTTTCTCAACTGTTGATTTTCGAGATGAAAAGACCCCGACGTAATAAGACGTTTCCGAGTGTAGAGCGGCAAGCTCAAATATTGTGCTAGAATCAAGAAAACGAGATAATAAAATATCATGAACTGTAAACAGAAGTCGTGACTCGTTTCCCGAGGAATTATTTTTTCCCTTCTTCCATCCTTTTTCCACTGAGCATACACGTCCGTGGATAGGCTGACGGGAAAGCACGGACGATACTGTGGAACGCGTTTATTAAAGTGAAACTTAATTTAGCCTCTGGCCGGTTCTAATGCAAAAGATATCTGGCATCCGGTAAATCATTCGCTCCGAGTGACTGTTGCAATTTCCGATTTAACGTCGATTCCTATTCTGGATGCCAGTGTCAGTGTTTTAGCGCGTAAAGCACGGAGAAGTAAGATATCGACGTTTGCACGACCTTCGGTGGAAAATATTGCCAGATCAATAACACGGTGGCGTAGAATTCGAACTGGACCGACTTTCGATCCACTGTGTGTCCATTAGTTATGGCTTTGTCGCATGAAAAATGCGACTCGTAGAGCACTATCTTCCATTCCGATCATCTCGTCGAAACGAGATTCCTTTGCTTCTTCCTTTTGTTTACTTTTTATTATTTATTTTTCCACTTTTTTCGTGTAAAAATAAAAATGTCGTAAAACCTTCATGTAGCCGCGGAAGATCGTGTTCGACGGTTGGATTTCGCCCATAGATCGTTAGCTGATCAAAAGGGAAAATCGGCACACGAGATAGATCCAGCACGGTCCCCCTTTTGAGATACGAGTTAGATTTATAACGGGCTGGTAACGAATTTTACCGCGGTATAGAGTTGCATCGATTCGGTGATAAGATTAGCGACTGATAAACAGCTCGGCTACATGCATTTCTGCGACACCAACGCCAGCAATTTTTGCGCCTGTACCGGTGTCGTCGTGTTACAAGCTTCCGTAATACCTGCAAAATCGTCGGCACAATGCATTCGCGTTCTACAAAATTGTTTACTATTCCGAACGTGTGCGCGGAAACATACAAATGTTGTTTAAACGATGACTGGACACGTTACATCCGCTGTTTCCCTTGAAATTTATTAAATCATTTGTTGAAATTTTTACCTAAAATATCAAAGCTTTCCGCTATCCTTCCTATCCGTTATATATTTTATTTTTCATGCTAGCGTTTCTGTTGATTTTAGAAATTATTCAGTACCGTATGCGCGCGATAAAACATCGGTGTAAGAGACATATTGATATATCAAAATGTTATATATGTCTAGGCGAGGTTATCCAATAAATGTCGAAGTAACGTAGTGATATAGGTGTCCGAATACGAACCCTAAGATATCAGCATGGAATCCCTCGGTTTTTACTCATTTACGTATTTTCCTCCGCGAATTTTCACTCGGATTCGATGCCCTGTTATTTAGAAATAGCCGAACATATGGGAAATAATTGTTAAAACGTTACTCGGTCTCCAAAAAAGTTTTCAATCAATTCCTTCGCGCTAAAAAGGTCGTCGATAAATGAAAAAATAACGTAAACGCGATATAAACCGTGATTGGTGAATTTTAGGTTGTAATCGAGCGACTCGCGCAACAACTGAAACGCATACCGTCATTAGGATGACAGTTGAGAAACATGGGTAACACGCTGGGAATACTTAAGTGACACAGTAACAAGCTACAAATTGAGTGGCCCATTTCGCAATGGTGTGCGTGTGTGTGTTAGTGGTTGAGAGAGAAAGAGCGAAAGATATACTCACGCTTGATAAAAGTTATTCGCGCTCGTGTCCATCAGCAACTGCGTTGGATAATGTGTTAGTGGTTGAGAGAGAAAGAGCAAAAGATATACTCACGCTTGATAAAAGTTATTCGCGCTCGTGTCCATCAGCAACTGCGTTGGATATGCGAGAACACTATGAACTGATTCGCTGAGACGTGAAACGCAACGAAGACAACATCCTCTGTGCTTTTTAATCGCAATAATTTGTCGAAAAGCTGCAAACATCGGGCAAAGCGCACCTTAAATATTCTACTGCATACATGTCGATATTAACGCTTGCGCCGGCGTTGTTTAAATTGTTACATCCGCAGTGTTCCGTGCGTGAATCAGCAATGCGAAACGTAAATATTCTCGGTATAAATTACGAAGTTTGTTGATTGCACTTCATTGCTCGATCGGTAATCACGGACGCGTATACTTGTGAACCAGAGTGGAAATTGTGCTGTATCGTACTAGTCGGCGTGTTTATTTGGAAAAGTTCGATAGATTTGTTTTCCGATGATGATAAGACTCGTGAAAAATGACGGAATATAAATAAAATGAAAATGCACGTTGATAGAAGAATATACACGTATACGTGGATATACTTACACGGTAAAATGAAATGCAACGTGAAGATGGGAATAACAGGAGATAATTGGAGTACGTAATAAATAGCGATCTGAAACTCGAATTAATCGGTCCCATTAGTATTTATCGATATATTTTCCACGTGCTGGAAGAAAGTATAGCAACCCCATGACCCGCAGGTGATTTTCGATGCAGCGACTTAGCCGCTCATAAAATCTGCAGTTCCAATTTACCGCGACATCTTTGCTCGCGATGCAGCATCTTCGAACAATCCCTCGAAGCCATGTTTGTCATAACAGCGGAGGATGCCATTAATTTGCTGTTGTAGATAATTTTTTCGTATTTGTTTGAGAATATTTTTCAATCAACAAAGTATTCGATAAAACGATGTCTCGCTGTGAAATTGTACTGGCAATTAGCTGCAGGTATATCAACAGCATGATAAATCTTATACCGTAGATGATTAAGGATACAATAGCGACATTTGCGGGATTACGGTAAGAGAAGATCGCGAAAAATGTGTAATTTATAAAATAAAATTGTAGAGCATACATGCACGCGTGCATTTAGAGAATTGAAAG